TTTGTCTGAATATAGATGTTATTCTGGTAAATTTAGGCACGAGGTTTGTATATATGTGTATATATACATCTATCGCTTTGTAAATAGAGTAATTCTCGATTATTTTTATGGTAAAGTCTAAACTTTAGAATATAATCCCCTTTTCCCTATTACAAATTTGTGTTCTTAATCATATATTTATGCATATCTATTGTTGTCTTGATAATTTTTTGTGCTTAGTGATAACAATTACTTCAAAAATTTTAATGATAAAAATTCCTCGAAGGTATGTTTTATATGTTTATGCAAGTTTATGTTAATATGTTTGTGAATGAATATGAACTATACACCCACCCATATGTATGTATCTACATTGTACTTGACAATCTACGAGGGGGCTTATTTGGCTTACAAGGATGGCCCAACACAAATTGGGACCTAATGCGAGAATTTCATATGAGACCTAATTTAATATTTTAGGAAGATAATAATTTTTTTTTTAATAATTATTAGACATTTTACAGAATGTTGTGATATGATTTATTTTCAATGTTTTAAGGATTTTGGGATTTGGCGGGATTAGACAATAAATTTGGATTAATTATGATGTTAGGATATTAATAAATTGAATAAAATCTTAAAGAGACAACAAGAAAGCTAGAGATAATGACAAAGAACCAGAACAAGATAACACGAGTGGAGGTAAGAGAAATAGTTGAAGAGAGTGAAGAAAAAAATAGTAAAAAGAATTCAAAAGGGATTGCAACTTTTAAATCTAGCATAAGGTTTTACATAGATTTGTAAAGATATTGTTATATTTTAGGGTTTTGTATAAGATTTTAGATAGACTTGTGAAATATATTAAACATTTAACTTGGTCCATTCAAAATGACATCAGAACATGAAATGAACTAAGGGTGAAATTAAATTGAGGCCATAAATATTTGAGGTTTTATGCAACTATTTTAATAGTCGAGCCCTAGGGCAGGCCCTACTGTGGCTCCTCCCATTCAAAGGATTTAATTTGTCAAATCATGTATGGACCATTACCAAGTACTGTCATGATAAAAATGTTCAATGTTACAACGTGGTGTCATATATATATATATATATATATATATATATATATATATATAGTAATTTAGGCATTTAAGATATATTAAACATTACATATTTATTATTTCATACTCATGCTATATACGTATAATTGTTCAATAATATAATTCATAGAAATTATAAGGTATATATAGATTATCATGACTAAGTACACATTTTTTAGCAAATAAATTCATATATCTGTTTGTCTCTCTCATCTCTTGCTTGACCCACACTTTTCGGGATACAATTTATTGTTTCATTACTATTTTTATGTTTTTTTTTATTTGTTTTGTATATTATTCATGAAAATTATGGTATTATATGATCGACTATCAGTATACGTTTATAATTTCTTGTTATGTTGTTATTAAATTATTTAACTATTTTAAAAAAAAAATTATGATTCTTAACTTGTTTATGTATGCAACGTTTACCTACTGTTTTATTTTCCCTGATAACAAATTTGTTGAATTTTTTTATTGTGGATCTTTTATGAAAATGAACAATTTAATTAGTTGATGTTTTTATGTTTAAATACAAATAAAATTGAATTTGAGAAAAATATGAAATGAGAGAGATACTTTTGGGAGAATTACATCTAGACCATTGAGATTTATTATTTAATTACTTAGACCCATTAACATTTAAAATATTACACTCAAACCCCTTTAAATTTGTACATACGTAACACTACAACCCCCTGTCGTCAATACTATCATTAGTAAATTGTACTCAACCCCCCTTGAATTTTGTATGTTTTTAATATTTAAACTCCTCAAGTTTAAAATATTATATTTAAATAAAAAATACTTCAATCAAATATAAAATATCAAATACTTTAAAATTTACAATCAAAATTCATGTTATATCATGTTATTTATTAAAATAAAATTAAAAATAAAAATCTAATTTTTTCTTGAAAAAATTATAATTAGTATACAATTATACTATCTATTGGAATAAAATAAAATAAAAAATCAAATAAAGGGGTCAAATGGTAATGGATACAATATCTTCTATCTTTAATTGGGGTAATTTGGTCGTTTAATAGATTTCATTAATTCTATACTAATATGGGGTCTAAGTAGTACACGTCTACAAATTTTATGATGTATGAGTATAATTTATTAACGGATATACTAACGAATATTAACTGTAGGGGTCTAATTTTTAAGTGTTACGCATGTATAAATTTCGAGGGTCTATGTGTAATATTTTAAATATCAAAAATCTAAATAATTAAGTGACAAACTTCAGAAAGTCTGGATGTAATTCTTCCTATATCGTGTAATTTAAAATATGTATGAGAGAGATGAACGGTAGTTTTGATCTTAAATTTTAAATTTTATTTTGTTAACTTAATCTTTGAATTAGGGGTGCGCAAATTTCAACATACCCGATCAATTCTGACGATCCAATTGATCAGCTTCCGGAAAAAAATGGACCGACTAATGGAAGAGTTTTTTATTGGATAAATATCATTCACACCCCTGATATTTGGTTTTATTATATGAACATCCCCTCACATTTTAAAAATTACACTAAGACCTAAATAGCTAAATGGGGTTAACAATATTTGTAAAAGTACAATTTGCCCCTATTTATCTGGTATTACTACCGTACTTAAAATAAACAAATAGATATTTGAAATACCAAGTTTGACCCTTTTATACCTTGTTTAAATAATATAATCCTATTTGTAAACATATTCAGCATCATAATGGACTAATCCTTTTTTAACACTTACTAACTTGTATCCAAACACATCTCTCTTTTTTCCAAAACACCCTAAGAATTCCTTCCACCCATCACCCACCAGTCTCTTCTTCCTCGTCTTATCCCGTTTATCCTTCACCTCCTTCTCTAAATCTGTATGTATCATTTTCTTTCTCTCTTTCATAAACAGACACAAAATAGAGATTTGTGACCTCTCCAAACATTGCACCACAAACAATGTTAAAAATGGAAGAAGTTATCACCTCTGCAAAGATCTCCCATTGCCAAACTCACTTGTAGCCATCGCCTCAGCCCGAATTTGCCTTGAATCATGCCTTGGGGCAGAGATATGCCCGTGAGTCACAGAGGGTCGATGATGGTGCCATGGATGATCGATGAATTCAAGTGTGGTGGGGGGCGGAGTTGTGTTGGTGGGGGTTTTGACATGGACGATGCTGTGGTGGTGGGGGGTGGTGTTGTGTTGCTTGTGTTATTTGCTAATGAAATTATAAAATTTAATATCGTGACAACTAATTAACATTTTTAATGAATATGATTACTAATTAACAAATTAATTAAGATGATTATAAATTTCAAAATTATTTAAGTTAATAATTAAATTCTTAATTTGTTTGACTAATTAAAAAATATGATGTTAATAGTATAATTAAAGTCAATATAAATATGGGGTTGGGTAAATTTATTTTTTGAATATAATTTCATTTGAACTCTTTAAATTAATTGAAAAGGGCATTCTTGGTATTATAAAAAAATATTTTGATGCCATCAGCATTGACCGTTAGTCTTCTCAACGTCGGTTAGTCGGAGGGGTGTAACAGTTACAAGTTTCATATGTCAAGGGGTTTTATGTACTTTTTGAAATGTAAAGGGGTGTCCATGTAATACAAATAAATATCAGGGGGTGTGAGTGATATTTTCGCTTTTTGATATTCCGCAAACAGTCGTAGGAATGCGACACAAAAACCCTACAATCCCTAGCGCCTCCTCGTCTACGAGTCTCAGGGACTCTCGCCTCTCTCTGCTTCTCTCAGTCGATCGATCCCTAGCGTCTCTCTCGCTGCATCCTCTTCGAAGCCACAAGCCAGCCACAAGCATCACAGGTTCTCTCTCTCTCTCTCTCTCTCTGACTCTTGTATGGCAGTCTCTGTGTGAGTCTTAATTCTTTTTGTTTTTCTGAAATTGAAATCATATGATGAGGGTTTCTGGAGTTTTTTGTGTTAAACTAAATTATAATGGGTTTTAATCTTTGATCTATATCTCATTATTGAACTCTAAAATTTGTGGCCTTTTTAATATGTAGGGCTTAAAGCCCATGCAGCCGGCCATCTTGGCTTACGATACTGCTTCTTAGTGTACTCTGGTGGGTGATTGACAGTATTCCTTTCTGTATTGGCAAAAATCTTCACCGGCAAGCCGTTGAAACTACCATTTAAATGGTGGATTGGTGTCAATGTTGACATACTTGATTTCATATACCATCGATTTGAAAGGGAGATGAGCTGCTATGTCTATATCTGCATTTGGAAACCTTGAGATATAATTATCTGTATAATGGGTTTTTGTTTATTCCTAGCTTTGGTAACGATTTGGCTTATGTAAGCACTAGCTGCATGTTGTAAAATTCATCAGTGAGCACAGATTAGATTTGAGGGAATCCACAATTGTCAACCTAATGACTCTAATCTTGTCCTTGAGCAGAAACAAACTCTTTTAGTTGTCATCATTTTTTTTTCTTGTGTGCTTTCTTCAGAATGAGTACAAGTTAAATGTTGGGGCAACCTAGAAAAGCACTAGTAGAGATGTGGTGTATATAGTTGCTTTATTCCTTTCATTTTTGACTATAGTCCTTTACTTTGTCAGAATTAATGAAGAAAAGAAAATGGAAAGACAAAAACTAAAAGAAAGGCTAATTGCTTGATGTTTTCTTTTCAACTTAAATGAAATAGATATTTTTTCAAATTATTGGACTAATCATTATAAAAGGGGAATGATGTGGTAAAGCACAAAGTTTTCTTCACATGCCCTCGTACTATCCATTTCCTCCTCAATTTGTATGGCAACCACACAAGTGGAAAGATTTTCTTTACACTTTCTCTCCAATTCTATCAATAAATCCACGAACTAGATGAAGTGTAATTATTTTTGTGTATATTACTTATTCTTGTGCATTTCTTGACTGTTGGAAGCAGGTTTTGTTGGCATTTTATTCATTTGGACTGGTGCATCTGGGGAGTCAAAGTTATAGGTTGGAGTCAACATGGGCTTTGATATTGATTGCATACCGAACATTCAGAATCTGCCTGGAGAGTACTTCTGTCCTGTTTGTCGCACACTTGTCTACCCAAATGAAGCACTTCAGTCTCAGTGCACTCATCTATACTGCAAACCTTGTCTGACTTATGCTGCGGGCACTCTCCGGGCCTGCCCCTATGATGGATATTTGGTGACAGAAGCAGATTCTAAGGTTAACATTTGTACTGTGCATCCTAAAGTTTTTTGTTATATTGTCATTCTAAATTTGCTATATTTATATTTCTGGCAGCCACTTATAGAGGTGAATAAAGCACTGGCAGAAACAATAGGCAAAATAGTAGTTCAGTGTCTCTATCAGAAAAGTGGGTGCACATGGCAGGGTCCTTTTTCTGATTGTGCTTCACATTGTTCTGTGTGCGCCTTTGGAAACTCTCCAGTTGTATGCAACAGATGTGGAATCCAAATTGTGCACCGTCAAGTACATGAGCATGCACAGAATTGTCCTGTGAGTATAGTAAGGCAAATGATATGCTTGTACTTAATATACCTATGAGGTGATACTCTTGTCTTGAGCATCTTTTTCCTACTTGGGTTGTTAAACGCAGGGTGTTCCCCAAGCACAACAGGCAGCAGGGAGTATCCAGGATGCTGCAACCTCAGGAACAACTGCTGCTGTTGTAGACCAGAGTCAGAATGCTACTCAATCAGAAGCACCAACTTCTCAGGTGCAGACATCACAAACAACTGCTGCTCCGGTGCCTGGACAGGATCCCAATCCTCAGCAAATGCAAATCTACAGGCCCAAGCTTCAGTGCCAGCTGCTGTTCCAACTCCAGAACAGTGGTATCAGCAACAATATCAGCAGTACTACCAGCAGTATCCTGGATATGATCCTTACCAGCAGCCTTATCAACAATACTACCCATATCAACAACCGGCCATTCAGCAATTCCAGCAGCCTCCACCACATGTGCTAGGGCAGCAGCAACCTCAGCTCTATTCTCAGCCCCAAGCCCAGCCCCAGCTGCAGGTTCAGTCCCATGTCCAACCCCAGCCCCAATCTCAACCCCAGGCCCAGCCTCAACCTCAGCACCATGCCCAATCTCAGCCCCAGCCCCAGCTGCAGACTCAATCTCAAACTCAGCCTCAAATTCTATCCCAGGGACAGCCTCAACCATATCCACCCGTTCAGGTTCCAGTGGCTTCACAACATCAAAACCAGGCTAACCCACAGCAGCAACCTCACCCTGCAGTGCAGGCCCATTCCCAAACCCAATCTCAGACTCACCCACCCACCCATGGCCACCCACCTTTTCAGCCTCAGCCTTACCCGCAAGCCCAGACCCTTCCACAGCCTCATCCACAGCAACATATGCAGGTGCCGCAATATCAGCAGCCTCATTTGCAGTTGCACCATCCCCAGTTGCAAGTTCAGCCCCCACCTTCTCAGGTTCAACAACAACCTCATCCACATGCCCAAACCCAACCTCAACCTCTATCTCATTCACAAGTGCAGCCACAGGCGCAGCCTCAACATCATCCCCAGCCTCATCCACAATTCCGCCCTCCTCAGCCCAACCAGCCCCCAATTCCGAATTCCCAGCCTCAGACCCCACTTCCACCGGCTCATGCAGTAACAGGTCATCACTCCTATCCGCAATCTCAGCCTCAAATGCAGCTGGTGGCCCCACAACAACATCCTATGCATATGCATCCTTCGAGTGGGTCTTTACCACCCCCAGCTCAAGTGCCAGGTCAGTTCCCGCAACAGCCAACTCAAATGCGGCCACCCCAGTCTCATGCACCATTGCCAAATCAACAACAATCAGCTTTGTTGCCTTCACAAGGTCAAGTCCCGAGCATCCCTTCTTCACAACAGCAGCAAATTCATCCTCATGCTCAGCGTCCTGTTATGAGGCCAAATCATCCACCAGTACCCCAGCAATATCTGCAGCAGCAGCAGCAGCAGCAGCCTTTTCCTGCGCAAGGAGTGGGTCCAGTTCAGAATCAATTACACCAGCATGGCCATTTTGGACAGCAGCAGCAGCCCATACAGTCTCAGTTACGCCCACCGGGTCCACCTCAGTCAATGCCGCAAAATTCTCATGGCCATCTCCAGCCGCAGCAGAATGCTGTGTTGGCTCATGGCATGCAACCCCAGCAGTTTCAAAGTTATGTAGGAAGACCTGTGATGCCAAATCAGGGAATGCAGTCACAGGCCTTTCCACAGGACAGGCCCATGCAGCTTAGTTCAAATCAAGCTTTAGTGAATCAGAATTTTGCAAACAGGCCCAACAACCAACAGCAATCGTCTGCAATGCCCGAGAGGCAAGGTGATCATATATCCGAGAGAAGTGTAGCTATGAGAATTGGAACATCATCTCAGAAGACTGCCGAAAAGGATGCAAATGGTCCTGGAGCTGGTTTGGTTGAAGTAAAGGCTGTGAAACCTGAAGCAGACATGAATAGTGAACAGAAACCCATAGTTGAAGGTGAAGGTAAATCTATGCAAGGTGAAACATCTGCCAAAGATGCAGACTCTGTTGTTCATGCAGTGAAAGATGGCTCAGGTGAGCTTGTAAACAAGCAAATAGTGAAGGAAGAGGGCACTGAGAATACATTGGGGCCTTCATGTGGGGGCAAATTGGCTGAAATTGTGTCTTTGGAGGGGAAAGACGGCCCGAATGTTGCATGTAAAGCAGATGTCCCCTTGGTAGATGGTCCTTCATTGCGGCAAGCAGAATCTCTCGAGGGACAGAAGGTGACATTGTCGGAAAATGCTGCAAATGTGAGCTTGAAGGCCACTGCTGGTTCTGACAAGGGTACAGTAGCAGTTCCTGCTTCCAAAACTGATGCTTCAGTTCAGAATACTATTTCCCAGGGCAATTCACAGGCTACTCATATCGCTAGAGATCCTATGCAACATGGTTATCAGGAAAGAAATTTGAGCCAACCCCAGGTTACTCCTCAAGGTTCTGGTATTGAAGAATTTGGTGGCTTACAGGGGAAGGGATTTGTGCACACTTCTCATCAGTTACCTCCAATGCCTCATGGGCCTTCCACTCCTCATCAGAGACCTGCGGTCCCTTCGATGTTACCGATGGCGCCTCCAGGACCCCCACTTCATGCACAATTGCCAGGGCAACACCCGTGCCATTGAGGCCTCAGGCACCTGGACTTTTGCCTCAGCCTGGACAGTCATTAAACCCACAGGAGCATTTCCAGCCACCGGTGCTGAATCAGTCTCAAGGTCCTTTTCATTCAGACATTGCCGTCGGGAGGGGCCCTGGACCTGATCATTTTGGTCACTCATATAGAACTTATGATATGCATTCTAGCACTCCTCAAGGGCCAGTACTTAGTGCTGTACATCCCGGTCCTATTGCTCCTCAAGTTGGTCTGATGGAAGAGCACCACCACATGGTCCTGAAGGTCAGTTTGGTCTGCAGCGTCCTACCAATCCAGTGGATACTAAAATGCTCCCAAATCAGAGACCACATCTCTTCGATGGCAGACAATTGGACTCGCATCCTCCAGGGTCTTTGGAGAGGGGCCCATTTGGGCAGCTTCCTGGTAATGAATCAAATATGAGGAGAATTAATGGGGCGCCAGGCCTTGAATCTTTGCGGGATGAAAGGTTCAACTCCGTGACTGATGAACGTTTAAATGCTTTTGCAATGGAGCCCACTCGACGCTTTGACCAAGGTGAGTTCGAAGATCTCAGAAAATTCCCTAGACCTCCTCATTTGGAGACTGAGCATGCTCCAAATTTGGTAGTGTTTTTTCCTCATCAAGGCCAATTAACTCGGGTGCTCATGCATTTGGTGTGGATGCAGTATCAAGGCCTCTTGACATGGCACCCCGTGGGTACAATTATGATGCTGGAGAACGAGCAATGGGAGTTGGTCTTCATGATGATAACCGTGGTTGGATGGATTCCACTCATTCTCATCCAGATTTTCTTGGACCAGTTTCTGGATTTGGTCGGCATCAAATGGAGCGGTTGACTCCAAGAAGTCCAGGTAGAGAATACCCTGGTATTCCATCTCGTGGATTTGGAGGCCGCCCACATGGCCAATCAGGTCTTGATGATATTGATAGCAGGGAACCTCGTTCATTTGGTGAGGGATCCAGATCTTTTAACCCACCTTCAGATCCAGTCGGCAATTCGTTTCATGAAACTAGGTTTCCCACTTTGCCTGGCCGCATGCGGAAAGGCGAGCTTGATGGTTCGGGGAATTTGCGAATGGATGAGCATTTGGCATTTGGTCCTCAGAACAATTGGAGGGGTGGAGACTTAATGGGCAGGAGATTCCGCCTAGCCACTTGCGGAGGGGTGAGCTTTTGGGCCCTCGGAATTTGCAGAGTCATTCGCATTTGGAGAGCCAACTGGCTTTGGGCTTTTTCTGGTCATTCACGCATGGGGGAATTGGCTGGGCCTGGGAACTTCTCCCATCATCCACCTTTCAGTGAGTCATTCGGAGGCAACCAGTCAAGTCATCCACGTCTTGGTGAGCCTGGGTTTAGGAGCAGCTACTCCCTCCAGGGATTTCCGAATGAGGGTGGACTATATGCAGTTAGTATTTATATCTCTGATCTCTTAAAATTTTATGCTGCTTATGGCCATTTTTTTTTTTTTGCTTTTCTTATTTGTTGGTGTGGTGCGAAGAGAGATCAGAACTAGAATCATGGATTTGTTTCTGCAATGCATATGTGTACAC